TACCAAAGGAATGGGTTGTTATTTAAATTAATAAAGAAAATGTGGTAGAGATGTACATTTTCACCTTCAGGGGTACAGGTGAGACTGTGGGAGGATTATGAAGCCATTTTGTCTCTTGTCAAGTATTTCCAAAAATGTTTGAATTCGGGTATGTTCAACTTTGCTCAAAAGACCTGGAGGAGGCTGGCCTGGGAAAAGTGGGTGGCAAGAACCACTGGCAAGCTGGTAAGACAGATTTTATGTTCCTATTTTGTTTTACATCTGCTGTCAGCAGGTCTGCTAATAAGAAGACAGAAAAAAAACCCAGTGGAGACAACAACCAAATTTTATGCAAGTTTATTGCCTAAATATTACTTTTGAGTTTTGTACTCACAGACAATACAGTAATGGGGTGTGTTTATTTATGGAGGGCAGACTGCACTCAGTTTAGCACTACAATAAACTGAGAGACATTGCAGTGGTATGTCAGGAAGGCTTGGTAGAGACTAAAATTAAAAGCAAGCCTCACTAAATCTTAAAAATGGGATGGCTACATCAACAACTTGATGTATAGCTCCTATTGGTGTTCACAGATAATAGTTATCTATTTTCTGTACCTATGAAGTGCTTTCTGTATTAAAGTACTCCTGCCATCATAAAACACTTGTGAAAATTAACAGCCAACTTCTCTTCTGCACTGAATATTAATTACTATATGAACATTTCTTGCTACACCGCTTTCAAAACATCTTCTCTCCCAGGATATTTAATTTCATGTGGAAAGCAATTTTTCATCAACCTACACAAATTAGCGAATGAAGAGGACATGGTGCATCTAAGTGCCTGCCTGAGCTCCAGGAAAGCACTCCCCACTGCGAGTTACTGGACTTGAAATGAAACACTAATGAAGTTTTTTATTTATAAACAAAAATTGGTCAAAGGACAGACAGGAAGTAGTAATGGCAGATGCCAGTGCGTTCATTAATAAATGTTAGAGCTGTGAGGCAAATGCTGGACCTGGGTTTAGTTAAAATTAAATGGTTTCATACATGTCATCAGAGTGAGCACTGCCAATACTACCAAGATGGAAAAGGTTAAAATACAGGTATGAGTATAGAGTGATCAGAATTAGTTATAGAAAGTACTGCAAGTGAGGGGGAATAATATCAAAAAGATATCTGAGAGGAGAGAAAAGCCTTGAAAGCAGCAACAGCAGAGCCTCCAGAGAAACAACAGACAGTAACTCAGACAGCCTTAAACTGGCCAAGACAGCAAGGTCACTGGTTGCTTACAGAACACATATATTAGCCCAAATTAGTTATTCCTGTTTGTCACAGTGGACTTCACATCAAAACCAGTTCATACACTTCAACATATCTCAGGGTTGGAAAGGTTCAATGAAATTTCTGAGCACACTCAACATTAATCATTCACAAGCTGGAATTTTTAAATTAGTATGAAAGATACTGCAGTAAGCACAGCTCAGCCAAAGAATAATTAAATGACTACTGTGAAGGAAAAAAAAAAAAAAAAAGACAAAAAGACTGCACTGTACAACTCCTCGATTCAAGGAAGGGGGGAAGGACCCAGCAGAAGTGAACATTTCTCTGTTGGATACAAGGTGAACCAAAACCTCTGCTAGTTATTTTCTCTTTATAGGTCCTGGCCCTAGAAACATTTATAAACAGCTCTGAATCTTTGCTTCTACACATCCAAGTTGAAGTTTCTGCAAAAATGTTTCCAAGATCCTAACTCTGCTTTCTCCATCTCTACTGAATCTTTAGGAGGGGTTTATAAAGCTGCTCATAAAACACAACCTGAAAACTCATACCTTATTTCCCTAGCAGAAGGAACTGAAATGATGCTTCATGCCCTAAATTAATTTAGTTGTTGGTTCGTTTCACTTCAGTCAAATACTCAAAGCTCTTGCTATATTATTCTCATTTCCTTCCCATTTTGAACTGCTATCAGATAGTCCACGTGAAACATTTTGCACAAAATTATACCGGTCAAACCTTAAAGAAAGAAAAAAGAAAAATATATCAGCTTTCCAATGTTTTTAGTTATAAAGACCCTGTCTTGTTTTTGATAGTATGCTTATAAATAATTAAAATATATGAACAGAAATAATAGCAGAATACTTTTCTTATTAGGCTTGAACTCAGCTTTCTATGTATATTATCACCATGATGAGCCTTTATTTATCTGGCCCGTGGTAATACTTTATAATGATTACATAAAGAGGTCTATTTTAGGAAGGTTATATCTTTGATCTCTATATACATGGAAATCATTTGCAACTGACACATCCATTACACTTGCACATGATATTCTTCATCTGCAAACAAAATACTTATAGAATCATTTTGTTTCCTTCAGAAAAGTGCATTTCTGCCTCTCTCAGCACATATCACAGAATCATAGAATGCTTTGAGTTGGAAGGCACCTTAAAGCTCATCTCGTTCCACTTCCCTGCCATGGGAAGGGACACCTCTCGCTAGACCAGGTTGTTCCAAGTCCCATCCAACCTGGCCTTGGACACTTCCAGGGATGGGGTGTCCAGAACTTCTCTGCGTAATCTGTGCCAGTGTCTCACCACCCTCACAGTGAAGAATTTCTTCCCCATACCTAATCTAAATCTGTCCCCAGTTATTGTGGAGACATTCCCACTTGTCCTGTCACTCTATGCCCTTGTCAAAAGTAGCCCCTTTAGGCACTGGAATGGGCTTTAAGGTCTCCACAGAACCTTCTCTTCTCCAGGCTGAACAACCCCAACTCTCTCAGCCTGAGTCAGAAATAATTGAAAACATACTGTGAAAATCAAAGAGGGTATTGATTCTTCAGGCAAGCATGTAGAATTCATCACATAGTAGGTTTGTTATTTAGATTTTTTTTTTTCAATCAACTGCCACATAAAGAGATCCATTTAAAAATCCTGCCTGTAAACAATGAGGCATTTCTAAGGCTGATACAGTTTGTATGAATTTTCTAGAAAGCAGAGAAAGAGAGAAAGGTGAAGGAGGCTTTTTTAATCTGGCCTTATGGAGCGAACACACAGCCAAGCCCTTTGAAGCACAGAACTTGGTTCACAGTATTGCTGAACTTGCCTCGCCTCCAACATCACCTTTCCCACCATGTGCTTCATCCCCTCTCTCTGAAGCCTTGTCTGACATAAGGTCACTTAATTTTCCATGTATTGTCAGTCCTGAAAAAGTTCTGGCAATTACAGACAGAATAGATTTCCACATGCTTTTTCCTTAATTTCTTAAATAGCTCGTGTTCATTATGTGCTTCACCTGATCATAGTTAGAATGATAGTTACTAGACCACAGAGAAGATTCAGAGGGACCAAGCCAAGACGCTGTCTTCTGTCAAATTTGACCTGCATATTCCAAAGGAAGAAAGAGGTCAAGACCTCTGGGAAAAAGAGAGTTTCACAGGACCCCTGTACCAAAGAAACAGTATCATCTCAGTATCTAATCAACAAGCTTCTGTCAGTATCTGTGTGTCAAATAAGAAAAAATAAGGTGAGGAAAAGCAAAGAAAGACAGAAAAAGAAATACATTTCTGAAAGGAAATACCCATGGCATCAACCAGCTGATATTAGTTGAGGATGCTAATTACTATCCCATAATTAACAAAGATGAACCCATATTGTGGCTTTTAAAACATCATAACAGAGTCTATGTACACCCCTGCCATGAACTTTGATTCCTGAATGAGACAGCTCTTAAGGGTTTCTCGGAGTTTCAAAGGGTCTTGGAAATGCTATGCTTTTCATCTTTATTTATCCCATCCAAAAAGACATTCCTTGATTTAAGTCAGATTTAATCACTGTATAAAACAAGGAAAACAGCTGTGAGGATGACTTAGGTTTTGTACATTAGTCGCAGTTTGATCCCAATCATCTGCAAGCAGTTAGCTATGATTTGATGAACCATATTAACGAGGCAGGATGAATGCTGCAAAGCACTTATTTATCTGAAAATAAATATGTATTTGCCACCAAGATTTTGTCCAATATAAGCTCTAAACGCCAGAGATGGGGAAAATATGCTCCCCACTGGGGTACATCCTTTCTGCTAGAGTGTGACTAAATCTACTCTACTGGCAGACTAGATTTAACAACGTCCTTCTCCTTCCCAAGAATGTTATAAAGCTGCATTAACATCCTCAGGCAAAAGTCCCCACACAAATGAAAAGGAATACTATTTCTATTTTAGAGATGTGATAAAACCCTATAGCCAGCCATCTACATAGTAAGGGTTACCACTCAGTTGCTGAAAAACCAAAATTCAGATCACCTCTAAGTTTAGAATAAAGCGGTACGGAAAGTTAAACACTTGAGCAAATTCAGGATTGCAACTACCTTAGTTAAAGTACAATCCTGATTTATCACCCAATTGTTACTTGGAATCTTTCTGTCAAAAAGAAGGTTCAAGGCATATAGCAAATAATATGGATTACATGGATTTTGGAAAAGATACCCTTTCATACATATATCAAACCCTCAACATCTCTTTGAGAGAAAAATCCATAACCCATAGCATGGAAAAGAAATCATCAGAAAAAGAAAGGTAGAAAAATCACTTCAGCACTCATGCTGCAAGCACAAGGAATCAAATAAGCAGAGCCAAACTGCAGTTTCCAAAATCATTCAAATTCATCTTCCTGGTTTAGATATCTTTGCTAAACTACCAGAAAAACAGCTCATCCTGAGCTCATTCTCAGAAACTTTAGGCAAAGCTCTGGTTTAATTGTTAATGTGGTACATGAAACAACAACTCATTGCTGATGCCTAAATACTGTGAACACGAGCAAATTTAAAACAGGCTAAGCACTGGTATCTACAATAGCAAGTGCTGGGCACATTACCAACACTTGCTGTACAAGTCTCTGTCTTACAGTTTTACTAACACACTTAATCTTTACCTATTTCACTTCTCTTTTTCAAAGCCTAAGTGTAAAATGGTACTAAATGCAGTGTGAAAACAGTAATTCCCAGTTGCCTTATTAAAACATTGACAAGGTTGCTGGAGAGGCAGCTCTGCAGTGTTATATATGACCATGTGGTCAAAGGAAACCTCATCTAGAAAGGAAGTTCATTGAGATGATATCTTCCTACTTCTGATTGATTATTTGCTCAATAAATAAATATATTAACACTTTAAATAAACTTAGAAATCGTTGATTCCTTCATTATTTCTTCATCTCCACCAAGAAAAGCTTTTCTGTAAAGTAAGGACACAGTACTTCCACAAGTACTGGGCAGAGATTCACCAAAATCTTTCCAAGTGCTAAAATGTCATAGTGGCAGCACAAACTACCCATAAAATCACTTAAGCTGCCAGTACCCAAAGCAGCACATAAAATACAGGAAACTTATGGGAATTACACTGGTAGTTACATAGAAGCTTAGTACACAGTCAAATTCCTAACAACATCAGAAAGCTCCATCACTGCCACCAAGCTGGAAACATCATGTCCAGGGCCAGTGCTTAGGCGACACTCTACAAACATGAATAATCCACTTTAGTGACATCTTAATTAATGGCTCTTGAATTGCTGGGGAATACATGCATTTCTAAGACACATTTCTTTAGAGTCCATTACAATGACCTGTCTGAAGTTCCTGTAAGTCTCTCTTTGGACAGTTCCTGTAAGTCTTTCTGGTTACTGCCGTGATCTACCCTACATGCAAACACCTGCACATAGGCAGGGGCATGGCATTGCTGGGATGCTGGGAGATGCTGTTCTTAGCAGACAAGGAAGGTGGTGGAAGGGGTGAAATCAATAAAAATGTTGGAGCTGATTTCACGCTGCAGTTGCGCAGCAGCTTCTTCTGTTCTTCTGTCTCCCCTGTCCAGACCCAGACCTGACACCTGGGTTTCCTGGCTTGACTCTGGAGCTGTCTTCTGGCTATGGATTTACTGGGCTGTGGGCAATGCTAAGCAGTGCCTCTGGGCTCCCGTGTACCTTGCCATCACTGTGGCTCCCTGTTCAAGGTGGAGCCCCAGCCTTCCCTGCACCCTTTGGAGCGTATCTGCTCTTGCTCCTTATCAAGAGGAACCTGAAAACTCACAAATTTTCATGAAATATTGCTGCTAAAAATGAAGCAAACCCAGGGAAGGCATATCAGGATCATGATGTGACACAGCAGTCGGTGCCTTGTTACACGACTAAGGGCTGACAGATGTAGTCTGCTCCTTCAAAGTGATCTCATCTGAGGAAAACGGCAAACCCCAGGAGGTAACATAAAACACTACCTATGCCTGTTCTTGGAACAAAGAGCTATTAACCTCAAGTTTTATTCGTGCTAAGACTGGCATGATTGCTAACATGAGAATGAAAACATCCACGTTCCTGGTGGTCCTCAGATTT